AAGAACAAAGGTTGTGGTTGAAAATAAGAACAAAAGTTGTGGTTGAAGAGAAGAACAACAGGACCCCATAGATGAGAGTCTTCAAAAAAGAAAGTAACTCGTTCTAGGTGTTTCTTAGATAGCCTAGCCCCTTCATTGCTTCCACATGCATTTATCACTTCCACGTCATCTCAGAAGGTCAGGCCCCAATGCTTCCCACTCCACATGTTTGAACCTTCTCATTACTTAGGATTTCCTCTCACCCAATTCCATCCAAAACTAATGAGGCTGGTCAGTCAGCAATTTGAAGATCACTAGGTGGAACTCATTGGGATTCCTCTAACTATAGGTTTCTCTCACCTGGGGCAACCTTCTGGAGGCCACTCTGCTCCAAGCCATATAAAAGACACAACATCTGAGTGTGTCCTTCAAAGAGAACATCAGATTCCTGGAAACTTCTGCCACTGGCCAGCCACTGCGGTAAGTGTCTCCCTCTTCTTCTCCAGCTCTGCAGAAGATGTTCTCCTCAAAAGGATTTGGAGGCATCTTTAGCAACCAAGAACCTTGTGGCAACATTCCTTGATCGCTGGGCTTGGCCATCAAGTGGAGGCAGAAAATGATTGAAAAGAGTCAAGGTAGCAATCTTCACCGGTGTCTTCAGGGCAGTTTATGGTGTTTAGAAAGGAATGAGGTATCAACCCAACTCTTCAAGATGCCAGAGAAAACAATTTCTTAAATGAATGGGGATGGAGAATTACAGGGAACAAAGAAAGGATCAAAGCAGAGTGGAGACACAAAAGGGAGGTGAATTGCATGTGGTTGAAGGAGACAGTGAAGATTGAAGAAAGATGGAAAGAGGACAGCCGGGTTGTGGAAAAGTAGAGTGAGGCAATCTGGTGGTGGAGAAGTCTTCACACTCACCTTGATGGAGACTTCATTGGCTTCTTTTAATGTGAGTCTCCCACCTTGTTGGCATGATGTGAAGTAAAGAGTTGGCATAAAACAGATGAGCCAAGACACCAGGGAGAACATTAGATGGCTGGAGATGCCTCCAACATGGTTTTCCTTCAAGAGTCTCCAATTTGGAAAAGGGCCAAGGATTTGGTCTTCCGTTCAGAACGGTGTCCAAATGATGATAATTATGTTGTTTTTGGGATGAGGTGTGTTCATGTCATTGGATTAGATAGTTCTAGAAGCTTTTCAGATAGTTCAGGCTGTTTCCTAGCCAATAATTTCATATAATACAAAGAAGACAATTTAAGAAAAGTATTGCACCAAAACCTTTCAGCAAAAAAACTCACTAAATTGGAATGTATTTTTGAACAGATGGTAGGAACATCAGCTTGCTTCCATAGGAATTTCCCCAGAAATATATTTATCATACATATTCATACCAGAGACTTCATCAGGCCCAGCAAACAGGTTTTGCTTGCCTCACTTTAACCCTTGTTTCGGATTTCTTCTGAGTTAGCAGATTATGAAAGCGGCTCAAAATAATTCACTAATCTGGGTAAAATGTGTTTTGCAAATTCAGCTATTCTCTCGCAAAGTGGGGCCTCTTTCATCCAACTTTTGACTGGGCCCCATCCTCTCTCACGGATTCCCCAACTGAAGGAACCACAGTAGAGAAAGAATCATCTGGAGAGACTCTTAAAGAATTGTGGTGCAAGCCCTGTGCTTTGGAAGTTATGTCACAAGGCTGCACAAAAGAGATGCTGGCTTGTAGGACAGCTTCCTCTTCCCAAACAAACTATTCTGAAATATCTTTTTTTTTTCTTTTGCAGAACCAGCCTTCTTCCTTCCCCAATGGCTTACCAGTGCAAGCAACCTTGTCTCCCTCCTCCCTGCCTGAAGGGCGCCACTGTGTGTGTGGCTCCGGGCACCACTGTCTGCGTCTCTCCAACGCAGGGACAGAGCATCGAAGTACGCACTTCTCCCACCGGGGCCGTCTGCGTCACCCAAGGCCAAAACAAGGGCCAGTGTGCCAAAAATTGTTGTTGCGGATCCGTGGTGGTGTCACCAGTGCAGGACCAAAGCTACCCTCCCTGTGCCACCATTTCTGTGGGACAGAACCACGGGCCACCCAGCACCATTTCCATCCCCCAACCACAGAGCTGCCAGTGTGCAGCCTGCTGCGGATCTGTGGCCACAATCCAGAGCCAAAGTGGTTGCTCCCCCATTTGCGCCTCTCCTGGGAATGCTGTATGCATCTCCCCCATTGCAGCACCACTGGCCCCCACCCCGGTGATCTGCCAGGACCCCTGTGGCAATATCTGTGTTGCCTCCAAGGGGGGCACCATGTGTCCCACAAAATGCGCCGGCCCCGGAACGGTGGTTTGTGTGGATCCCTGCGAGGCCGTGAAGAGCGTGAAAAATTGTGACGACACGGTCTGTGTGAAGGGATGCCAGTCGGGCAGCGTGAACCAGTGCAACGTGAAGAAGTGCTGAACACGCACAGACATACCCCGACTTCAAAGTTGGGGTGTGGGAAGCCAACCGCGTTGACACGTGATGAATTCCTTCTTCCATGAATTTTGCTCGAGTTCCTTCTTTCGACCCCATCCAGGAGACGGTTTTTCCATACACATTTACAGCTTCTCTGTTCGCCACTTCTGCTGTATCCTGGGATTGCAATTTCTGCATTCAGGTCTTCTGAAGGATCCCCTTTCATTGGTGGAAGGGGATTCTTTTTTTTAATTGCTAGTGGACGGACAGATTTCTCTTCTCTTCCTATCACTTCCCTGCTAATCCAGAGCAAATAAAAGCAGCTGAAAGAAACTCTTTTGGTGCCATCTGAAATTCTTCAAGAACTAGCACATATCTCAGAGTCCAAAAGGATGGATGGATGGATGGATGGATGGATGGATGGATGGATGGATGACAAAGGAAGTCATACAGACAAACAGACAGATAATAGCTAAATATATGGAAGATATAGATGGCAATCAAACAGACAGACAGAAAGATAGCTAGATGGAGGGAAGACACAGATGACAAACAGACATAAAGATAGATGGGTCATCCTTGCTGCACCTCAGCATCTGGTAGCACCAATGCAACTACAATTTGCAAACTAAGTTCATTCATAATCACTGCATTATGCAGATCCAGAAAATAGCTGCGTTCAGTCATCAGGTCCACCACTTCCTTGCAGGAAAGAGAACTGATGAACGTTTATGTTTATTCCTTGGTGGATAAGTTAGAAGGAAGAAAGGTTTCCCAATTCAGTTTTCAAGGGAAGTTCTTGCCAGTTTCTTTCCTTTTGCAGCATCGGGCGGTAGACTGTTTCGGAATATGGAGGATTTATATTGATATCAAGAGCCCCCAAAGATATAAAAACCCACCACTACATATATATACTACATATAGTCAGTTTTTCCCAGAGCCATCTTTCTGTCTGGCTCTCCTCTTCAATAAACTACCACCTTCTTTCTAAAGCAGTCTCCGTTTTGTTTATTCCCGGCTTGGACTGGAGCCTGATGAAGATTTTTCCTTTAACAAGTCCATCAGTTGGGGGAGATTGGACACCCATCATCCTGTCCTCCAGACCTGTCCCAATAACCAGGGTCAAAAACAAGCACTTCTGAATAGGGACCGCCCCACTACTTTGAGTGACAGCTGGGGATTTACCGAAAGGGTTTGCATTGGAAATAACCTCCTACGCCAAGTCCTTCCAGCCTGTATTATGCACGGTTAAGAGCTAGAGTAATTCATTCATTAAGGCGTGGGCGGGCCGAAAAGGACGGATAGGCAGAAAAAAAAATTGCTATCTGTCTGTATAAAAAAGAGCTTTTGGCTCAACCGCTCCTCTCGACAAAACTTGGCAGCTGCTGCGTTTCTTCAGGCACCTGCAGAGTTCAGTAAGTCTTGGGAAGCTGGACCAGTCTAAGGAGGGTTTTCTGTCTTCTGTTTATCTTCCTTCGCTCCTTTGCACTTTAAGCACGATTCCACCTTCGTCTCTGATCTCTCGTTTTTGCTGCTGGGTTGTGGGAAAACGCCTCCCCTGCGGATCTCCGGAGAGAGTTTGGATGACCTCCGTGCCCCGGTTAGCCTTCGCAGCCTTGGAGGGTTTAAGGCCCTGAGCTCGGCACCGTCAAGTGAGGAGAAAGGGGGAGTTGGGTGGGCTCCGACTGCAAGTGAGCGGCAGGTTTCGCACCCGGAGCCTGGCCTCCGGGTGTGGGGAAGGGGGATTTGGGTCTGCCTGCAGGTTTTTTTTGAATTCCTTTGAAAGGGTTTTTTGGGGAGGTTCGGGGTGATCAGATAAGAGGTGGACCAAAGGGGTTCTTTTATCCCCTTGCTTGTTCTTCCTTTCTTTCTTTCTTTCTTTCTTTCTTTCTTTCTTTCTTTCTTTCTTTCTTTCTTTCTTTCTTTCTTCCTTCCTTCCTTCCTCTGTTTTTTTTTCTTTCGTTCCTTCCTTCCTTGCCTTCCTTTTTTTCTGCCTTCCTGCCTTCCTTCCTCTGCTTTTCTTTCTTTTCTCTTTCCTTCCTTTCTCTGTTTTTTCTTTCCTTCTTTCTTCCTTTTCTTTCCTTCTTCCTTCCTTCTTTCCTTCTTCTGTTTGTCTTTTCTTCCTCCCTCCCTCCCTTCATTCCTTCTTTCGTCATTTCTTTCCATCCATCCTTTTCTTTCTCTCTTCCCTCCTTCTTTCCTTCCTCTGCTCTTCTTCCTTTCTTCCTCTGCTTTTCTCTTTCTTTCTTTCTTTCTTTTTTTCTTTCTTTCTTTCTTTCTTTCTTTCTTTCTTTCCTCCCTAATATAAGAGGGCATGGAGATCCTCCATCTCCTGAGGCAGTCTATACTTCAATAACAATCGCTAGGTGGAAGAAATCAGAGCAGGTGTTGTCATTCAGACCTCTGGCTGTTCTCTGTTCTGGGCAAAGGGGAGAACAAATTATTCATTTCTCTTCGCTTCTCACTGCCTGAAACTGGATGGATGGGTGGATTTTGGCATTTATTGCGTCCCACATTCTTACTTTAAAAAAATAATAATAAATTTCAGGCAGCCGGAAGGAAAGAGAAAGCAGGAAGTTGTTCAGAGATGGGGCATCCAAGGGGGGCGTCAGAGGAAGGACTGGCAACTGGCAAAACTAGCTGCTCTTTAAGAGGAGGCTGGACAACGCTTTGTCTGAAATGGTGTAGGGTTTCCTGCCTGAGCAGGGGGCTGGACTAGATGACCTCCAAGGTCCCTTCCAACTCTGTGATTCTCTTATTCTGTCCCATTTATGCAGCTTGTCTCCTCCCGTCTGCCCCACAAAAGAGGGCTTCTTTTGCAAAATTGCTCCCACATACAAAATCTGGACAGTTGTGATGTGTGGTTGTTTTCTTTTGATTTCTAGACCTCGCTCCTGACCCTGTACAAAACATGGCTTATCAATGCAAGGAGCCTTGCCTTCCTCCACCCACCGATGTAGTCCAGTGTGTGCAAGATACCAAGGACCCTTGCATGGCTTACCAATGCAAGGAGCCTTGCCTTCCTCCACCCACCAAGGATCCTTGCACGCTCACCAACACGGCCCAGTGTGTCCCCAGCTGCGATTGCACCTGCTCGGAAGCCTGCAACGCCCCAGATAGCCTCTCGTACCAAGCCAAGCAGCCGTGTGCAGCGCCTTCCTTTGGGGCTCCGCTGTGCCTCATGGTCACCTCCATCCCCTGTGCGCTGCCTTGCACATCCTTGCACACCGAATTCTGTGCAGAATCTCCTTCCATCCCCTGTGGGTCCATGACACCGCAGCCTTGCTCTGAGGACCCCCAGCCTTGCTCCTTGGCAACTCCAGGGTTTTGCACCCCTCCATCTCCACCCACATGCGGGTCCGGCTGTTCAGACAACTGCTCGGACCCCCAAGGCGACGGGAGAATGTCCTATGTGCCTCCAGGTTCCACCGTGTGCTTGGAACCATGTGGATCTGTTTCGGTGAAGCCCAGTGTTGCTTCTCCAGAACTGGAGAACAGTAGCATTTTTCTGGCATCTTACAAGCCTCACTACATGTGAAAGCAGGTGGGCGTTTTGCCAGATGTGGGATGAGTAAGCCTCATCTACCAAAGCTCTTTGATTGTTAAAATATATATATGTCTTCTCTTTAATTGGCATTAATGACGGGCAGAGACAGACCAACGTGGTGTGAACGCCTTTGAAAATTCCCCATCTGTCGTTTTTTTTTTTTTTTTTTTTTTTTCCCGTAGCTGGGACTCAAATTAAATGTTAGCAGGCAGCCTTGCCCAATTCCCAGACCTTAGAAGTCCAGTCATCCTTTGCTGCCCTCTGAAGCTTACAGAGCCGTTTGCTGGTTTTTAAAAAGTATTGAGACCTTGATTCACACATGTATCTTTGGGCAAAGAATGGCACGCTGTCCTCAGGTTACGGCTGAATTAGCCCAATATCAATGTTGCTTAGAGAAACATTTCTTAAGGGAGTTTTGCCCCATTTCACGACTTTTCTTGCCCCCAGGTTTAAGTGGATTGCTGCATTTGTTAAGTTAGTGCGATGGTAGTTAATTGATTGATTTTGCTTGTTGGAAGGCCCCAATGCAGCCGTTCCCCTAACAATTGGGGCGAGAAGGGTGATAAAAACAGGGCAAAATCCACTCTGCAAAGGTCTCCCTTCACAACTGGGGCTCAATTGGGACTGTAAATCAAGGACCACCTGTACTTAACTTGGTTTGGGGCAAGGGCGATCTGAAGTCACTCTGGTTTAGGATTTCTGACACGATCGGTGCTGGAAGAGAATCGGATTGCCACAAGGAAGAAAATATCTTGAAAGAGCCATCTTTGCTTCCGGATGTCCTTTCCTGCTAGGGAGGTCAAGTTGTATGAGTGTCTAGTTTTGGGGTGGGGGGGACGTGCCAAATACTCCAAGTGATTTGGAGAAGACCCATCCCCAATCCCTGCCTTCGGAACAGTCTGGACACACCCGGGTAGGTGTCTGCTCACCTGAATTTTCAGACAACGCAAACAATTTTATGGAAGCAATTCTCTCTGCCTGCGTTCAGGGTTTGCTCAAGGAGCTTTTCCCAGACACCCTGGAGCAACATGAAAAGGTTGCATCTTGTCCTCCTTCTCCTCCTGTTTTCGGCTTTCTCCTTTATTTAAGTCAGAAATTTCAGGGTAAACCGTTTCGGACACCTGTTTTCCTTCGAGCGTCCTCTTACCAGCAACTGGACATTATCTCAATTACCTGTTGCAGCCAGGTAAAAATGAAACATCAAGGCTTGGAAACAGCTCTCTGGTTTTGTCTCCCCCGTGTTAAAATTCGTTTGGTTGCATTCGTCCTTCGCTGGATATTTTTCAGCCTCTAATAAAGTTGAAATAAAATGCTGTGTTATCCCTTCACGCGTCTTTGGAAGTGATTTCTGGTTTAGCTGCGCTCAGCAGGAGATGAGATGAATTGATCCAGGGATCAAATCCCAAGGATCCCCCCCCCCAAAAAAAAAGTTTTGGTTTTGTGGGACTTGTAAAGATTAGCAATCCGTTCCGTTTAAGATTGTCTCTTGGGGACCTGTTTTGTCTGGGGTTTTTTCCTTAAGCATTTGCTTCAGGTTTGTTTCCCAACAGGCTGGGGAGGAATTGCAGACTTGAGAAATGGAGAAATGGGAGTTAATGGATGTCACTGATTCGTCCAACTAGGCCAAAGATTTGGAAATTTTAAATTTCCAAACGCTGGCTTCAAATCATTATATATTCAACCAGTTTTGTCTTGCAAATTTTTCCTTCCTTCCTTCCTTCCTTCCTTCCTTCCTTCCTTCCTTCCTTCCTTCCTTCCTTCCTTGTCTATCTCTTTGTCTTTTCCTCCCTCCCTCCCTCCTTTCCTTTCCTTCCTTCCTTCCTTCTTTCTTTATTCTTTCTTATCCTTCCTTCCCTATTCTTCCTCCCTCCCTCTTTCCTTCTTTCTTCCCTCCCTCCTCCCTTTGCTTTTTATCTATCTGGATGGATGGAAAGAGAGAGTCAGAGGGACAAAGAGAGAGCGAGAGCGAGAGAGAGAGAGAGAGAGAAACGAGGAATGGATGGATGGATGGATGGATGGATGGATGGATGGATGGATGGAGAGCAAGAGACAGAGAGACAGAGAGAGAGAGAAAGAGAGACAGACAGAGAGACAAACGGATGGACGGAAAGAGAAATTAAATTCTCAGTGAGAAAACTGACTTTCTTAAAGTCCCCAACATTGAGACATCCAGGTGTGGTGCATCCTTGATTGCATTTGGAACTCAGATTCCACCCTGATCCCCAGATGTTCTCCAGAGGCACCTCGTCCAAGAGAAAACCAAAACCCAACACTCAACCAGTTCTGCCGAGAAGCAAGTATTTTTTTTTTTTACTAAAGCTTGGCTGTCATCTCCTCGAGAGCAAGAGAATCACTCGGTAGGAAATTAGAACGAAATCTGGATGTTCTTGAGAAGTTCTAATCGCCACCAGGACCGTGTCCAGAAGATGTAGGAGGAGACCTCCTGAGGACACGAAGATGAACGCTGGGTGGGAAGACATGGAAGCAGCACCAGGGGAGGGGGCGGTTAAAGACCTTTCTCACCCCCTTTCTCATTTTCAGTGGGGCACAGCAACCTTCAGCAGCCCTTGGGAGGCTGTTTGGCCTTGTGTGGAGGACTCTTCACATCTTTGCTGCAAGGGCAGCCGGCATCCTTTTGGGGCACACCTTTGCTGGGAGGTGAACAGCAAGTCTTGGGGGGGCTTTTGCAGGGGTGACAAGGCTCTGGGCAGGGAGGGAGCTTACAGCCTTGCTTCTGCTGGGACATGGTTCTTTGGGGGGGGGGGAAGAAGCCTGCAAAGAAAAGGGAGAAAAATTGAAAGTTATTGAACAGGAGTGTCTTGTTCCACCAGAGCCCCCAAAATTCCCCAAATCTATTTTGGACTCTCAGTCTTTTTGCAGAAATCCAGAGGCATAGCCAGGAACAGAGGGGGTCATCCTACTCTACCCTACTCTACTCTACCCTACCCTACCCTACTCTACTCTACTCTACTCTACTCTACTCTGCTCTGTTCTATTCTCTATTCTATTTTCTAATTCTATTCTTCATTTCTCTATAGTTCTATTCTGTTCTTTATTCTCCTATTCTATTCTATTCTGCTTTGTTATTCTATTCTATTCTACAACCTTTTCTACAATCTATTCTATTCTATTCTTCATTTCTCTATATTCTATTCTATTCTTTCTTTATTCTCCTATTCTATTCTTCTTTGTTCTTCCATTCCATTCCATCCCATCCATCCCATCCCATCCCATCCCATCCCATCCCATCCCATTCTATTCTATTCTATTCTATTCTATTCTATTCTATTCTATTCTATTCTATTCTATTCTATTCTATTCTATTCCATTCTATTCCATTCTATTCCATTCCCCAGTAGAACTTAGCTTCCCTCCTCCAGATGTTGTGGGTGGTCCATCACTGGAGGCTTTTAAGAAGAGATGGGACAGCCATTGCTCTGGAATGGCGTAAGGTCTCCTGCTTGAGCAGGGGGTTGGACTAGAGGACCACCAAGGTCCCTTCCAACTCTCTCATTCAGTTAATTCCACCTCCTTGCCAGGACAGAGACATCTGCCATCGTCCCCACCTTCTTCTATACACGAGTTCCACCAACGTCTTTGTAGCTGACCAAGCCCAAACTCAGACGTTGCAAAAAAAAAGAAGAAGAACAATTTGCAAGGGTAAGATGTCACCACCCTTGCAGAAGGAAAGAAAGAGACAGGACAGGAAAAATAACCAAGATTTACAGTGCTGTGGATAATGTGATAAAAGGAACTTACCTAAAGTTGGCGAGAAGACACAGAGACAGCAAGAAAAGTCACCACCAGGATGGATTGAGGGGCCCCAAACTGCCATCTGCCCTTTTATTCAGGTTCCCAAAGTAGTGTCACTTCCTGTTACCACAAGATTAAGTCCACTGGGTGCGGGCGGGCGTTAATTGACTAATTGAATTTTCAATCAGCCACTCCCCTGATTCTCCATCCATTAGCAGATGCTTGTTGAATGACTTTTCAACTGTTGACTTTTGGCCCATCTCCAAAATAGCCAAGAATAAAAAAGTATTTGTGCTGCTCATTTGCAACACGTGGTTTTTCTTTTTAATCAGGCTAGCAAACACAGCCTCCCTGGCGTGGTGCAGTCTATCTCAAAGGAAAAGGATTTCCACACGGTGCAGCTCAAACATTTGTCCCAAGCCAGGTTTATGGTCTGCATTTTGGAAACTGAAGATGCGATAAAGTTGATAAAAGGATGGCTTGTGCAAACGGGTCTTGGGATCCTTCCGTTTTTGAAATATTAACGGTCCGAACAAATCCGTAAAGGAGAATTAACTTTCGGAATTGTAGGCTTTGCATGGAGACAGGAGGACTGGAAATTTTAAAAAAGGGGGAGCAAAATGGATCCTGGAGCAGATGTTTTTTAAAAAAATGTGTCCTCTTTTCTTAGTAATTTCTCAGGACCATCTGGAAAAATCTACCCAGCTGCTTCTCCGGGTGTTTAGCTCCGAGGGATGGGTGGCCCAATGCATTGTGGGAAAATCCTTCAGGAGAAGAACAAAAAGCTGGCCTGACTGGTTGGTCCACTGTTTAGTGACCAGCTGCCAATAGAAGCGACAAGGTGGGACTCCCGGACAGGTGCGAAGGTTTATGTCCAGAAGTACTTTGTAATTTTTTCCAAGAATAAAACTTATTTTTAATCTATGCCAGGATGCCCCAAAACACCCGCTTTCCCCTGTTTGATTAAACAGGATTGATGAAACAGGGCAAGTTTCTAGTCCTCATGTTTCTCAGGAGGGAAGACTCAACTGAAATTAGGAAGGAGATACATAGGCTACACCCAGTTTCTTTCGACTGAGGAAAACAACACTGATGAAGCAAAGCAAGATGCTAGTCCTCATGCTTCCCGGAAGGGAAGAGTTGGTTAAAATTAGGAAGCAGGTTTATAGACAGCACTACTTCCTTCTTCCAAGTTTCTAGTCCCACTTGGCTACGGATGATGGCTGCACAACCCAGTTTTTGGAATGGTGGCTTGCAACCTGCTTCTTTTCTCAAACCATC